CCGGGTGCCGGCAAGCTGCCGCTGGGGAGCTGCACAAATTAACTCGCAGGGTTGGAAAAGACGCCGCGGCTGCGTTCCCACTCCCCCCCCCGGTGTACAGTGGGACCCAGCGCCGAGCGCCTGTTTTCATTACGGGCAGTTAAACGAGGGTGTATTTTTTCAGGACTGAACCATGATTTTCCATGGTTTTCTTCAAAGCGACCTTTGCGGTTATTAAAATGCTTTTAAAGCAGTGTTGCTGCTTTGAACAGTATTTCCAAGAACTGTATGGGAACAATTTTTAACTAGCAGCTAGGTTTCCGTCTGCAAGTTGCCCGCAGGCATGAAACCCAAGTCATCCCTACTACAGTATCGTTAGCAAATGAAACGTTTCCTTTGGCCAAAAAAACATAAAAAAAAAACCAACAACCTCGCTTTGTTTGTCTTGAAGAAAGAATCACCAAGTTCAGTTAAGCAGCAGCATAACAGAAGCAGCGGGGAAACAGCCTTTGGTGCTGCGCTTCGGCAGCGCGCGCCTGTGAGCTGCGCTGAGGCTGCGCAGGTGTATTTGAAGGGTTAAAACCGTGAGCGTGCAAGAAGCCCCGCTCGTCGTATGGGGTTCACTGAGCTTGGTAACCGCCTGCCGAGTCCTGCGCTTAGGCAAGGGGCAGCCAGAATGCTCTGGGCATATCCAACAAAGTCAAAAGCGCAAAGCAGGGCGGCATTTGGCGCTGCGGGAAGGTGTGATGCGGGGTCTGGGCTTTCCCGGCGGGAAGGCGCACGCTGCCTGGGGTGCTGCCTCGGTGAGCAAGGGGACTGTCCGCTCGGTCCCCGTGGATCACGTAACAGCATTGCCAGCCGTCAAAACGTTATTTGCCCCGGTGCTTTGCTACCCTGAGTGATTCAAGAGAGGCTCACTTGGTTGCCGCCTGGATGTTTTCCCGTTTCGCTAATACGCACCAATAATATAGCCCGTAATGCACCCCACGAGGAGCGAGGAGCCCTGGCTGCCAAGTACACTTGAGGTATTCCCAGTCGTGGTAGATGCAGTGAAAATCCTTAACCTCTGATTCCAGTTTGCCTGTCAAATGGGAAATAACCACTATTTAGTGAGGTACTACTCAGGCTGAGCAAAAAACTTCATTTGACGTCTTTGAACAATTGCACGTGGCAGTCAAAAGAGAAAAAAAAGAAGAAAAAAGGCCAGTTACAATAATGAGAGAGTAAGAAGCTAGATAAGAAGCTTGTTATTCAGCAGTGGTGCTCTAGCTGGGCAACCCAGCAGTGTCGGGAGAGGGGCAGGGACACGAAGCAATGAGAAAGCAGCAGGAGACCCAGCTGCTGCTTCTGCTTCGCCCTCTTGTCAAAGCCTCTTAACTCCTGGCTGCAGGGAAGTCATTTCAGGACCCAGGGAAATGAGCCCCGAGGGTGCCGTAACCACCGCCACGGCGAACAGGAGCAGAGGTATCGTACGCTGCAAGCAGCCATGCAATGTCTTCTCCAGCCACCGAGCCCCAGCCCAGCAGCAGCCCATGCAACGGGCTCTGGCAACGCACGGAGCTGCCCGAGGCACCGAAGGCCGCTCCTAACCTTGCAGCGGGACCTCAAAGGTGGCGTGAATCCATTCACTTTGAACCTCCACGTCATTGGTACACCGGCCTTTGAGCAGCGTCTGTACCTTCGCTTCAGCAGGCCTGCTGAGGTCAAAGCCAACTCTGAATTTTAGTTTCCTAGTAAAAATAACCTGGTTGAAAGACAGACTTCATAAGCACCTCTTTTGCCTCTTAGTGGGCTGCACAATTTGCTATCAGTGCTCCTGCTCCAGCTCATCTCTGTGCTTTAAGGTAGCGTTTCTTTGCATTTCTATCCTGCTGCTCCTGCCCTGGGCTTTTCCAGCGCTCCTGTTCCTCGCTCGGCCGCTCGTCACGTGGCAGGTGAGCGTCCTGCAAGGCACTGAGACGGGGCTGGTAATTCATGTCATACCATCTGCAACCATCTGGGGCAGAGTGCGGAAACAGCGAGTTGTGGGTTGCCCTGTCGGCCGGTGGAAATTTTCTCCCAAACCTGTGCTACTGACCTCACTGGCATGGAGTCCCACCACCCGCCGGGACACGAGCAACCACAGGAAGGAGCAGGCTGTGGCTCAAGGGACATCCCTGCCAGCCGGGAGCGCCCAGGAGGAGGCTGTGGAGCATGCTAACATAAATAAAAACGTGATGCTCGTTAGCGCGGCGAGGTAATCGGAAGCAGAAGGAAGGATGTGGTGTCGCGCCAAACACCTGGGCTCGTAGGGATGGTTCACATGGGAAAGAGCAAGCGCACCCTGCCCGGCCCGACCCCTGTCCCAGGGAGCAGCAGGAGCCAGGCAGCGCCGCGCGCCTCGCACCAGCACGTATGGCCCTTTGGGGGATAACTTTTCGAGCCCTCTTTTTGAGATAATCCTTTTTTCCTTAGATTTGGAAGCCCCCCCCCAACCTCTTTACAAAAGAGAAAACGAAGTCCATGAGCGTTACAGCAAACAAAGAGACGGCAGCAACGTATTGTAAAACGAAAACGGCTGCTGCAACCGGAGCTGCAGCGGTGTAGCCCGCAATGGTGCGGTTTGTCGCCCGTCCCAGCAGTTTGGAGCCCAACTGAGCCACGTGTTTCTGACAGGCAGCCTTGGCTCTTGCTTCCCCATGTGTTTTTTGTTTGGTTTGTTTGCTTTTTAAACCATCTCTTCTTTGTTACCTCATCTGAGGTCAAAGTTCTGGCAGACTAGGAGAGGGGATTTTGGTTCTATCTTCCAGGTCTGCCTGGCATGAGACACTTTTATTATTTGTGCTCCAGGGAATTCTGCCTTTTTTTAAAAAAAATTTTGCATTTTTTTGCTTGATGCTTTTGAAATGTTGTTTCAAATCAGCGTAGAAGAACGGGCACAGCCGCACGCTGCTGGCAGGGTGACTGGCGCCGAGCAAGCAGGCTTTGCAGGGTTTCTCCTCTCCCGGCTCCGTCTCCCTCCCAACCCCACAGCAGCTTCCAGCTTCAAAGTGCTCCCAGAAATATTGCAACAACCCTCCCTGCACGGCGCGTATCTGCTATTGCCCTGCTACTCAGCAATGGGATAAGATTGGCCATTTTATCACAGTGATGAGCTAAACGTAGCTAAAAGGCAAAAGTAAATGGGGATTAAAAACACTCTCTTGGATAAAGGGACTGTTAGAACATCAGGCTAATTAATGAAAAACAGTCTTATATTTATGTAACATTTTGCAGCCCAGAGGATCTGTTGGCATTGTATGAGTTCCCGTTCAAGCCCTATAAAGACTTTCTAAAAAGTATAGCGCTTTTACGATGAGGAATGCTACTGGATACTGTTGGATTACATCTGGCAGCAAGGAGCACACCCTCTGGCAGCAGTAGCCCCTTATTCCAGCTCTGGCTGCTGCTGCTGTTAAAGTGCAAATCACATTCCCATCTGGCAAAAGTTTCAAACCACTGGCCCTATAGACTAGAGCTTGTTTTTTTCACAGCAAGCTGGAGCAGCTATTTTACTGAGGCCATACGGCTCGTTTAGTTGCAAGCTTAAATCAATGCAAGAACTAAAGACAGAAGAACAGCAACATGACGAAGAGGGTTTAACTGCACTTTTGTCTTACCTTCCAGTCTCTGTCATCTGCGTTACGGTATTCAAGCTTATATTTTACTGTGCATTCGTTGAAGGTTTGCACGTTGAGCGGAGGCTTCCACTCTATGTCGAGGGAACCTAAAAGTCCAGGATCAGTAATCTGAAGATCTTGTGGGGGAGCAACTAAAGCAGAAACAAAGCAGGGAGTAAAATCAGATGTTGATGTAAAGAAAACAAACCAAAGCAAAAAAGTCATGAAATTTCATTATATGACAACTGCAGGCGCTGGGGTGGAGGGAAGCATAGCACATTCAGTCCAGCGCTGAACATTTAATAGCCTCTTCTCAGCAGATAGGCACAAGCTCGTCTCCCGCCTGCCTGTGCAAGCCCAGTTTTTGCTGGTGCTCAGAGAAAACACTCTGATGCAGTTAAAGAGGCACAGAGAATGCCATAACAGTTTTGATGCTCCCTTTCAAGTTGTGTTATGCAAAACTACTGTCCTGCGATGACCCTTCAGCTACTGAGTTTCCTCACTTTTATCTCCTCATATTTACCAACAACCATTATGACAAGTATCACGGCAAACTTTGCGTTCAGCACTTGCAGCAAGCCTGGATGACAGATCACATCATGCTGCTGAGGAATATATATTCCCTAACCGTAACAGACACCCATCTTGTTTCGAATATTCTTTTCAAGCACATTAGAGATGAATGAGAAAGACTGAAAAAAAAAAAAAAAAGCAGAAGCAGAGAAGCAAAAAGTTAGAATAAAATCATTCTTATTTTGGGTAACTTCTATCAACTATAAAAAAAAGTGCCTTTCTAGACAATGTCTTTTATTAAAATATTGTGGATAAATAAACTGGAATATTTTCATACTAAGAAGATATACTCCCTAAAAACTCTGCTCTTTATTCAGAATTCCATTCACATGACACAAAGCTATTGCAGCTATTCAGTTTTATTAGCTCAAACTAAGCCAATTTTTATAATATTTAAGGTCATTGTTCTCCACATACACTATCTAAAGGCAAAGTTATCCCTCTAGGTTTCTACATATTCTTTACATGATACACTTTTCTCGTGGTGGTCGGGGGCCCTTCTCTTGGCAGTGTCCATCCAGCATTGTCACCCTTTCCCAGTGTGTCCTGGCCTGCAGGACACAGCCTTTCCTGACCCCCCTTTTTGTGCCTTAGTCAAGATTTACACCATTTTCCTCCCTTTCCTTTTTCTTTTATAAAGCTCTTATGAAAGACACTGAGAATACCTTTCAGTGGAAGACAACTATATAAATCAAACTTTAATGGGCTTCTTGGAGACTTTGCAGAAAACCACTGGAAGATTTATTTTTCCAAACTAAACCCTCCCAGATGAGACACATTCTAGGCAGCCGTCTAAAGAACCTGAGTTTCCAAGCATAGAAAGCTCCATGGATTGTTTTTTTGTTGTGTTAGATGGCAAAGTTGGGTATCATGGGAGTGTATTTAGGGCGGTGCTGGGGCTAGGAACAGTAGACTATAGTAGTTTGGAGGAAAAATGAGCTTTTCAGTATTTTCTGTATTATAAGCAGAACACTTTCCCTCCTACCAGATGTTAATCCTGTGACTGCAGCCTGGGTTTGGAGGGTGGTGATGGGCTTGGTGCAGCTCCAGGGATGAAGGTGATGGCCCTGCATGTGCAGTAGCTGGTGTTCAAGGACATCTTACACAGTCCCATGTTCTCACAGGAGGAAGGGGCAGGCTTCCCTATGCTGCGAGAGGTGCTGATCCATCATCATGGGCAGATGAGACGGAAGTGGGGGCAAGGGTAAAGCATGCTTAGTTCTGGGTCTTGGAGAGCCTCGAAGGTGAAGCAAGGACATCTCACCCACCTCCTGGCTCTTTTGCAAACATGTAAAGACTCCAGAAAATGGGGGAGCAGCATGAGTGGGACGTAGCTGGAGGAGCAACAGCTGCTAGAAAGCAAATGAGCTACTGTCCAGAACGGCTATTTCCATGAGCACCAACAAGGGAGGGGAAGGAAGGCCAAGGGGTGTTCCTTGCGCACCAGCGAGCCCCGTGCGGAGATCCCGCTGGCACGGGCGCGCAGGAGGACGGCCAAGGCACCGATGCATGAACTATGAGAACGGATACTGGTGCAGATTTGCTGGCACGGCAGTCAGCTAGACTGTCCAGGAGCTCGGAAACGTCCTCCTGGGCGGATAAACGTCGAGCCTCAGAGCCATACAAAGAAGCCAAAATATACTACACTGCATTCATGAGTCTGAGTCTGGTATGAGGCTTTCAAGACTCAAGTAGATTGGTTCAGACTACATTTTTTGCTCTCACCCACAATGGTGACATTCTGAGTCCATCCTGAACTTGAACAATCAGCAATATTTTTCGAAACAATTGCAACTACAAACAATAATTCTTGCAAAATAAATTTTGACTGAAGTTCAGAGGTATCGGAAAAGCTTCCTTTTGGGATATCACTTGCATTCTGGAATTTGATTTTCTTTTAAATGTCAAGCATTGCCTCTTGCACATTTTCTCCTTTTTAAGCTATTTATTTCATGACATGGCAGTATCACTCTGATTGTTTGCACCGGCCCCAGTACTAGAAATACTCCACTGTATTATCCAGTCTTGAAGGAAAGCTGATCCAGAATATGTCCTGAAAAAAAAAAAAAAAAAACCCTTCCTCTCTACCTTATTTGCATTGCAGTGAGCCACATCAGGGTGTGCTCCACAGGCGGCCCTATCTCCGAAGGGTACCTGTCAGGTTGTGCTCATCTATCTAGGTGCACATGGTTACTGCATAGGCCAGTCTACAGGCTTTATTTAGCAGTTTTCATTAGGATGCTTTCAGCTTTGGCTACAGCATCCATGAGGGTCCCGGCAGAGATCTCTGTTCACCGAGTTCAGCCTCAGGTGAACAGGATGGACCTGCGGTGCCATTCCCAGGGACGACAGCTCACCAAGCAATGATTGTTGCAAGAAGAAAGTATTATTCTCAGCTCATGAATAAGCCTAGCACAGTCTGCACAGCTGGGACCAGACCCAGGAACGTTTATGTACCTAAGTGGTATTTAGAGACGACGACTCTGTAGCAAACAATACATTCGCTGCACAGAAGAGGCAGCTCCTGCTCTCTTTGACGCTGTTGCAAAATTTCCACTCAGCACACACTATATTTACACAGTTGATGATAACATGTTTATAAGTCAGCCACATGCTGCAGCACAAACCGTTTCAGTTTAAGGGCTACCTTCATCAAGAGCCAGAGCTAATCTGAAGCATGCAGTAGGCAACAAGACTCAACGAACGCGGTTTTACCTGACGTATGGTAGGAAGAAGATGCCGAGCAGCCCCACACCAGGATAACGGTGAAAACGTAGATCCGCTGGTGAGCCATTTGGAGGTAGGATTTCAAAGATTCACTATGGAAAGTGTTAGAAAAGCATTCATTCGACACGCGCACAAGGAGGCTACAAAAACAAACCAGAATTGAAAGGCTTTAGTACACAAATGGGGCCCTGGAGTTCCCTACGCAGGATGAGCAAAACAAGAACCTCATTTGATTTTGTTTTTTGTTTGCCAAAACTGATTAATCATTTCCCAGAGAACGGGGATTTTTTTGGAGCTTTTGGAGATAGCAACACATGAATGACTTTGGCTTTATTTGCGCTTGTTTCTGGCTAGCTAAGCACTTTCTCCAAAGGAAAGTCAGGCTGTACTTAAGTCACGGAGTAGCCTGCACTGAATCTTCTCCAGAAAGAGTGATGTGGCTGGATGACCCTCTGTCTGTCAGTGGAGCCCGTGATAGGAAGTGCCTGTGACCAATGACATTCTCACCCCAAAATACCGAAAGAGAACGCCTCGTCCTTTCCTTATCCACTAAGTACAAATATTTTATTCAGCCCTTATCAGCAGTTTTGGCTTTGGGTAACATCCCATTTGGGGCTTTGGCAACTGCAAAGAAAAAGATATAGAGGCGAGGGCGAGAGACTGTTTTTATTTCATCCTCCAGCAAAAAATGAAATATTAGGAATTGTATGTGGGATGCCTTGTTAGTTTTCATAATAATCTTTGAAGGGGAACATTTTCTCTTTGTGAGCATGTCAGCTGGAGGGAAGATGGGGCAGAGAGGAGCAGAGCTTCCAGGCACCCCAGGACTGCTCTTTCGTTCGGATCACCAGCCTCGGCTGCTTCCCGATGCCAGAAAACACTTGCGTCACGGGTGAAAAGAATATATGTAACTATAGATATAAATAAACAAAAAAGTAAATAATTAAATATATATGTATATCTCGGTCGCTCTATCTTAAAGCTTGAGGCCAATGCTTGAGTGCTGCTTGTGCAAGAATATGGCAACATCTACCTGAGACCGTGCAATACATCTCTGAGCTTATTGCAGATTGCAAACTCAGTATTAAATGGTCCACTACACACTCTTGGTCATTAAAATCAGACTCCTAGGCTGTACCTTAGCATGAACACACTTGCTCCTTGCTCCTGCAGGAGTGCAACCTGCTCCTGGACAGTATCTGGACAAGGCTGCGGTGACAACACGCAACCTCAGCCACTGTATGACAATACGAGACAGAGGGTCTGCTGAATGGCAGAGCCTCTTGGCAGAGGGACCAGGAGAAATCTGAGGACTGGGCCAACAAAAACCCCGTAAAGTTCCCCCAGGAGAAGTGGAGCTGAGGAGCTGGAGGAGATGGGTTGCGTCGGGGAGAAGGAGCGAGTCTGACATTATCCAGCAATCTCACCAGCAGCAAATAGCAATTCAAAATACACAATAATCTGAACAGTTCTTTTTCAGTCTAAACAAACAGCAAGTTTCCCCGAGTGGTCTACGTAAGTATAAACAATATCAGGATTTTCCCGTTTCCTTGTGAAATGGAAAAGCGTGGAGAATTTCCGTTGGGAACCAATGACTGCGATTAGCTTGTAACCCATCGAAGACAGCACAAAACGTAACTCCTGGCTTGGCGTAGGCATACGTGCCTGACTCAGAAAGCCCGGGCAATTCAGCACAAGGCAGGAACAGAAACGAGCCCCGTGAGCAGGGCTGGGAGAGGCAGCAGGGATTACTCGCCTCTGATGAATGCAACCACCCAAGGACTAAACGGGAATTTTAGCCGAGGAAGTTTTTTCTAGTTCCAGCCACAGTTAATTTTAACAAATATAGGCGGTTTCAAAAGGCAAGTAAGACTAAACGAAGCGTTACGTGGAAATATTTAAAAGCCAGCAAAGTGCTCTTACCTAGATGACTGTCAAGTGTGTTAGAGCGTGCCTGTCTCGGGAGCGCTGCTCTCCTCGGCCGTCTCTGAGCTGCTCTGCTCAAAACTTTGCTTTTCTTAGAGCCGTGGAGGGTTTTAAAAGGAGGCCAAGTGGTTCAGCCCGCTCGCCCCAGGGATCGGGTGCCACCTTGCAACGTTACGGCACTCGTCAGGCAATCAACGGCTTTTTAAAACTAGCGACTTTTAGGCACCAGAAAGTACGCTGCTGGGATTTATGACGCGTTGGCATTAATTACTGCTGTAACTCTGCTCAGTGGGTCATAGGTATGTTTTAAATAGTTCAGTGATTCATTAAAATGAAAACCACATGGCATAACGAGGGCAGGCTGCGGGCCGGAGGCTGCAGGGCCCCTCGCTCGAGCCGGGGTGCGGACGGGCTCCCGCCGGCCGGCCTGGCCGCCTGCAAGTCCCAAACCTCTTGCAAGTGGGGCTGTCCCAGTTTGACCCATCACATCGCCTCTCCCTGAGCTTTCCGGCTCTGCTTATCTAGGAGAAAAGCCAGGCACTCCTTGCAGAGCTCTGCTCCGAGTCCTGCTCCAGAGATGGATAAAATTACCCTCTCTCTCTCCTGCCTGGTAGCCCTGCTTGGTGCGTCAGCGCAGCTGGTGACCGTGACCGTTACATGTCCTCTCATGTCCCCGTTTACGTCATCCCTTCCTCCCATCATCGCTCTGCAATCCCTCCCTCCCTCCCTCGCCCGTGGGCGCGCGGGCGTAGGGCCAGCCTGGAGCACCCTCTGCCAGAGGGCGCGCGGGAACCGCGCCTGGCTTCGGCCCAGGCTAGAGCTCTGCGACCAAACCTACCTTGCTGCCCTGTATGCACCAAAAAAAAAAAAAAAAAACTTTTTCACGT